AATTTTAGAGACTTCCAGAAGAGCCCACAGCTGTCCCAAAAGTACAAACTAGTGTATGAGCAATACCCTGGAGGGGGAAAATATCAAATTGAACAAAAATAGCACCAAGATATTGCCTATGGAGGCCATGTGTACGCAGGTACGACAAACATTGGCCCCGTTCCGCTGCGGACAGCAGCAGAAGTCCGATCACGGCGGCCCGTGAGCTTTTGTCGCGGCCAAACATGTCCGCAGGCAATTTCAACAAAGTGAAAGCTCCATCGACTCATGAACCTCATCAGCGTCATCATCGGCCCAGCATGGTGCGTGTGCCGTACGGTACGGGGTACAGCAGAAGCTCTTCCAACAGGCAGCTCCATACATCACACGTTCCCAAAGCGAATACCAAGCCCCAGGGCAATGCGTCAAGCCGCGCCAAAGTTGTACACAGTAGACCAACACTTTGCCCCAAGGACTCCATATCGAGACAAGGATACGTGATGTTGTCCAGCTCACGAAACTTTCAAAATTTGCAGCAGAATTCGATGGCGACAGTGACACACACGCCCTCTCTTTCTGCACAGCAAAGCAGGGTCTCATCATGGATCCCTTTTCTCCCATAACATTTACCAATCGCCTACCCTCACGTCATCGGCGTAGATGGTTGGTTTTTTTTTTTTTTTTTTTTTTTTGGGGGGGGGGGGGGGTCATGGCATGGCATTGACCAATTCGGTCGCAACAGCACCAAACGTGAAACCCTAAACCAAAAAAATAGGGGCTAATTGTGACATTTGTAAAGGCCGAAACAAGCTAGTCTTCATGCCGAAAGAAAGCGAACCAAACATTTTCCAAGGCAAGAGACGCCCTCGCGCGATTACGGTTTCCGCACAAACGCGCGCCCGTTTTTTTTGTTTTTTTTTCTTGTTTCTTTTTTGTTCCTTGCCTTCATGGATGGGCGCAATGCCAGAACTGCCGCCGCCGCCGAAGATTCCCGGGGCCGAATGCTCAGGTCCGAATAATTCCGATAGGGTGAACTTCATCACTACCATACCATTATCACCATTGCTCCTGAGGGCAGAAACACTACTTAGTAATCTGTCATGAACAACGTGGGGGCTTCGAACGGTTCAGAGATGCAGTCATTGAAGAGTTGTGCTTCCAAGGTCCTTCATGTAGCCTCAGTGTATGATCTCAAGGACTGTGGGAGATAAACAGCTTTATATAACCAGCGATATAGGGCGACCATCTAAGCCGCACGTCGCTAATCTGCGTGATGGTCCAATGTTCATGCAGTGAGTATGAAGCGGTACATATCATGTTATTATGCAACAGTGATGAACCGTACCTGTCTTGGACTTGCATTGCCTTGTTTTCTTCGATATATCTCGTGTTCACATGTATAATTAACCAAAGGTCCTGCGGTTCCAGTCTCACAACCTACACTACTGTGTACTGATACTGAGGTATGGATCGCACCGGCAAATTTTCTTCTTGGAGCTCTTCACTTAGTTGTTCGATATGGTTCAGCATTGAATACCCTAGTTAGGTATCACTAGTTACACTTCCTTGGCTTCCATGATGGAGAATTAAATTGATATCGAGTCTATATCCCAGATTAACACTCCATACTAGTAATTTTTAGGCCGAGCCAAGGTAGCCAAATTGTGGTAACCCCAATCACATTCCGGTACCGTATCCCCCGTGGCCGTTTTACCGTTCCGACTCTCAACGGCTCCGCCAATCATATGTCTGGATTCTTGTTTCAAAATTTCCTTCCTCGACGAGAAGTATCACGATGATACTAGACTTCATCCCAGGTTTTATGCTGCGTTATGCGTATAGTATACCTCTACCAACGCTAGGCTGTTAACGTCGCAGGACTATGCATGAGCTTCAGATCTCCAAACCAGCCAGGCAAGCACGTGTAATGCTAACAGCCTGACATGATTCTTTCAATGATGCGATCAACTTGTTTCACGTGTTGACAAAGTGTAAAAGCCGACGGATGAGACATTCGTCCGTTAAACAAAGTGGAACTTGGATCCCTCCGGCCGTTGCTGTCTCTTACTCGTAAATCCCGCCCCAGCCGATTCCCGGTCTGTAGTAACATCTTTCGGCGCTCCAACGGCCGCTCACTACCGGAGCACGTGCGGAGGACTCCGTGACAATTAGCCCAACACGGAATTTACGCACAACGGTGCACCAACTGTTGGGTCCTGTGCCGGGTGACCACTAACGAATGCCCATACGAGCTCCGCCTAACTCAGCTAGAGCTGATGCCCAGGCTGTCTGGGCCGTTCGGCGTGGTTCGTTGCTCAGAATTGCTGGTGCGAGAAACGGGGAACTTACGACAACCGAACCACATCTCCCGTCATTTTCAGCACCTCCACCTCCACAGCCTAGGGGGCCCACCAACTGTTACATATACACAGTCGCACCGAAACCGCGACTTCAAATACTTTGAAATAAAGGGGATTAATTAGCCCTCTTGAATTCCAACGCTTGCGAGAAGCATAGCGAGAAAAAAAGACGGATCTGCAATGACAGTACCACAGTGCACAATTACCAAGATACCGCAGCGACCAGCATAATGCTGCCCAAGAGCCAGGAACCGTTCCTGACGATCAGCACTGTATCATGTACCGAATTTCTGAGATTTTTGTCTTCTTCTCTTCTTTTCTTTTTCCTTTTTTTCTCCGTCTCTAAAGGTTTTTAGCCCTGATTGTAACCCTCCCTCCCTCCCGTCACCAACCGAAGAAGCAGATCACCGTCCCACCTCGCTGCCCGCGCCCGCCATTCGGGACCTGCGCCGAGCGCGGGCGCGGGACGCCGGGAGCGCAGCACCGCACCCCAAGGGCCAAGGCCCAAAAACCTCAACCCACAAAAATGGGCGCCCACGAAATCGCAAAGTTCCAGGAATTCCCGTGATATCTTACGTTGTTTAGTGTATATGATCTCATGATCTTATCCCTCTCCCAAAAAGAAACCCGGTAGGTAAGTTGGATCTTGGATTTCAGGGCCTTGAGGACCTTGGCGTTAGGGTTCTCTATTCGGATCCGCATCCGAAGTGTTACCTTTTGACCCCGGCCGTTGAACTGCCGGCATCGAGTCGGTCCCTGTTGTTGAGAGATTCGGACATTCCCATCAAACTCAAGGCCGAAATCGCACTACATACCTATTTATTACTTCCCGGATTTCGAAGTCTTCGATCAGGCCGATTAGAAATTCAAGACGAAAACCGTCATCAGCATCAGCATCCGGATCGGGATCGGGATCGGGATCGGGATTCGGGACGCAGGTGAGACGGGGCAGTCCTTGACGTTGCGGAGCCGCAAGACATTTGAGTTTTCTGGGAATGCGGCTCCAAAACCCCTCGAGAAAAAAAAAAAAAAAAGAATACGGCCAGCTCGGAGCCATATCACTGCCAGTGCCAGAAAATACATGCAGCAAACCTACAAAGTCTCCGAACCCCGCTCCCCGACAGTTGCTCGGCCCTTGCGTGTATGCGCGGCTCTTGTGCCAAATTAACCTCCTCCCACGAAACTCACCGACCAGTACCTCAAACGCTGGGCTTGTCTGTTAGCATGGTGTTGCTGCACACGGTGTACCTACTTACAGGCCCGGGGGGCCGGGGAAAGCGGGCTACGGGGCTACGGGGCTACGGGCAGGCTACCAAGGAGCCTGGCATGTCCAGAAGCTGGCGTGCTTGGCGGTCGGGAGCCGTAGCCAGGCTCCCAGGAAGGCGGTAGGCGGTGATCGGGGAGTTCGGGCATCGGTGAAGGACCTGGGTGGATATGAAGCTCAAAGCGGAACCGGGACGAACATCAGGACCTTGACGGCTCATCAGCGGTAAAGCGCGGCTCAGAAAGGCTCGTATGTATGCGGTGAAGTGAAATGATCGTTGATGCCCTTGTCGGCCTCGTGATGTTCCATGTTCCAGAATGTGTGTTATCAATGTTCAGTGTTCACGTGGACATGGAGTCAGGGCAGGCAGGGCACATTCAGGGCAAGCAGGCAGTTGTGAACCCTGATTTTCACTTGCGCTCGCCCGCTCGCCCGCTCGCCCTTTTTCTCGCTGTTCTTTTTGACCTTGAGCGGCTCATCATCAGACACGTTAGGGATATTGAATAGGACAATAAAAATTCTCTTCTTTGTGTGCTTTCTAGAGAACGCCACTTACTCATCTATCACTACCAACCAGCCGGCCACGCGGTGTGGTTGTGGATTGTGGTGCGCGGCCGTCCCGTCCGTCGGCGTCTCCGCTCGTTTTCGTTTTGTGCCTTTCGGGTGCCTGCCCGCCCGACCACTTGGGTCGCGTCCCATCCGCATTCCCCTACCGTCATGGGTTTGGTTTTTCTGAGAGTGGGAAGAGGCTGAGAGGCGCATGAGGCTCCGCTCCGCCTTTTTGCTTTTTTTTTTTGTTCGGCTGCTTTGTCCCGCATTTTCCTTCTGCTTCTTTCTGTTTTGGGTTATGTCTGTTTTGGTACGTTCCGGTCTGTCACTTTTTTCCTCTAGGGTCACATTATGTATCGTAATGTGATGGGACCGGATGACTGGTGTGCCCAGTGAGAAGATGGACGGCCAGGCCACCGGACTTCCTTTTTATGATGCGTATGTTGATGGAATGGAATAGGTAAGAAGAGGTGATTGATGATCATCGTGGTGAATTCAAGGATTTGTGACCTGGGAGTTGGTGCAATGACCCCGCAGTCTCGCGCAAGCGACTGCCGCGGACCACCAACCAAACAGCGATCTGATGCACATGTCCAATGTCTCTTTGCGACACATGCCGCTATTTTCAACTCTGATTGCGTGGAAAGCCGAACATAACCTTTCTGTGGGAGAACAGCATCTGCCTGCCGGCAGCTGTGAGGGGGATCGATCAACATCATCATTCACGACATGTCAACCAGAAGGATAGCAACAGTAAACTTGGCTAAACTCACTCATCACGTTAACGGGAGCGTGACCACTTGTCGATGCAGGACGAGTCCACACCACGCAATCCAAATCATTTGAAACAGCATGACGGCCCTTTCAGAAATAGAATACATAGGCAGACGTCAGCAGTGTACGTATCCTCTCAACAACGAACAGGAACCAGATTCGCCCGCCTGCACCGCTTTGGGCAACGCTGGCCCTACGGGCCCTACGGACGGCGCCCCGTGCGGCGGATAAACATCCGCCCCACTCACGACGACTTGGACGTTTACACGAACCGCGGTTGGGATCGTTTCATCTGTGTACACTAGTCCAAGCAAGAGTATGTAGCTCTCTTCGCTGGCATTACCCCAGCAGTAGTTGTCTATGAGGGGAGGGTGAAACCTGCAATTTGGCGTAGGGTTAAGCTATGGGGAGATTTGGAAAAAGCTCTTTTCTCTCGTACGAGTTCGTGTACGTGCATAGAAACCCCCTTCAGAGGAAACAAATTCCCATCTCATTCGCCGAGTTTTGCTGTCGTACGCTGACGGCCAGCTGGCAAGCATCGTGGTGTTTCCAACTTCACCCCTCGCGCTTTTCAGAGGTTGTTTGGTTTAATAAATCCAATTACTCAGGGTTCCGGTTTCGTTTCTGTCAGTACGTGTCTTGGTATTACCCCCAGGCCTTTTGGGGATCACCTCCAAACAGATCGACTTCCTGATTGTCGACCTTCCCGGGCACCTATGTGTGTGTACGGATAAGACTTAGCTAGTTAGGTAGTCTTCGAGCAGGAACTGGGTAGACTTTTCGCCCAATTGCATCTCATCACAAAACGTATCGAATCGACGATCAAGTCCTCTTCATATGGTCGTTGACGTCCTGTGACCGCCGTCTATCTATGAGCTGTCCAAAAGCTCTCCGCATATGCGTTCCCTTCCCTTGCTTTTCCACCCGCATCCTCCCAGACTCACAAAGCGAATCAACCCTTCCTCCTCGCGGTCCTCGTCTATCACATCAGGCAGACACTCCAGTGTCACAGCATCAAAGCGCCACCTAGGGGTTGTCGAGTGCCGCCAGCAGGAGCCTATGAAGCTCTGAGCGGGGGTCTTCCTCGCCACTGAATCGGAGCACCACACGAGCATTCTTGCATCGTCACTGTTATCTTTTCGTGTGAGGTGCGTGGTTTGTGTGGTGCTCTCTCAACTTTGCATCACGACATGAGCCGATATCGGAAGGTTTTGTTAGATTACGGACGGACGGACGGACGAAACAGGTAAGGGGAGGGGAAGGGAGGGGACCCATTTTCGTGATAGGGTCATCGTGATCTTATCCGCTCGTTCATCTACTTTTCTTTTTTGACTTCTCTCAGGGCCCGGCCCTATCCAAACTGGATGTCGGGGGTCCTTGGATCCGTTCATCGTGAGCGCCAGAGAGAGAGGCTCGGAGGGGGGGGGGAACATGAGATGTGAGGATGGGGCGTCTTCATCGGCCAAGCCTACGTAGCCTCTCTTCAAAGTCTTCGTCTGTGCCTCCCACAGAAAAGCTTTTCAACTTGTAACGTGGCCCAACGTTTTCTGACTGGGCTTCCGTCACTGGACCTCAAAATTTATCCATGTTCGCGTGGCACAGCCCGGGTTTTTTTTTTCTTCATTTTTTTTTCCTCACTTTTGTTTTCTTTCTCTTTGTGGCCAAAGTGAGGCGGGCTTGGCGGGGAGGACAGCTTCTGGTTGGAAGCTGATCCCGCGAATTAGTTCAACCTTTGGGGAGAAAGCTTGAGAATAGAGAGGCTCGTTCGTTAATCTGGTTGGACCGGGGAATTGATGAGAGAACACGGAGGGACATGACTGGGGCCTACACTAGTTTACGCTACTGCAAAGAGAAGGGAAAGGGTTCCAGTTGGGTGAATTGGGTAGGTGAAGTGTGGATTTCCTCTTCTATTTGGGCGAGTGCCCTGCTTCGCAGATGGGTGGGTCAAACAATCCTGAGATGTGCGTGCCGCCCTTCTGGAATTGCCATATTCATGCCGTCCAGTTGTAAAATCCGTCGGTGCACGAGAAAGCGGAGAGGAGGGCTCCTTTGTTTGATTGTCAAGAGCCAGAATAGTACCTACCTTTCTTCCTTTGTGCAGTGGTCTTCTGTAGTGTACCTGATGGGAAGCCATTTGGGAAAAGTTGCACTCCCCTGGTTTGCCAACTGCCATGTTTTTGTCCAAATCCGCCGGCGATCATCTCAATGGCGCCGTCTTGTATCCATATGAGTACACACGTCACGCAATACCACGAGTCACTTCCCATGAATGGCTGTGCTCCGTGTTAATGAATGCACCAAGGTCTAAGAAAGCTAGAGCTCTGCCGTGCTTTTGTGTGACAGAAATGGGTCCCTTAACTTGGTTGGTCCCTTTTCAACTTTTTGTTTGGGCGATCTCGCGGCTCGGCCCATTGGGTCAGGGGTTTTTGCCAAGTATTCGACCTATAGCCTAGCTAGTGTCTACTTCTATGTTACCAAGTCAAAAAAAAGTCGGCGTTGGGCTTTAACGAAAGGGCGATCAATTCAATCAGCCCCTCCCCATTGTTCGGATCCGCTCCCCAAAGGCGAAGCAGAACTTGAAAGAAACCAACAGTTTGCTGGTGTCTTGGACGGGCGGAACATTGTGCGGAAGCCTGGCGGTCGGGCACGGAAATGGATCTCCGGATTTAGAAGTACCTACTCGTTCGTCTCAGATGGCGGAAGCCAATGGTTCGAGCACCGGACGAACAGGATCATGCAAAGTCCGAGACATTCTGAGTGCAAGGGCGCCTGTCGAATGTCATAAACAGCGCAATGCAGAATGGGCCATTCTTCACAGAGTGCAGGCAGGATGATGCATTGGATGCGAAAGTGTTGAGCATGGTGAAGGCTATTTGTATTCATTCAGGTCCATGACCAAAAAATAGTTCAGGATCATCTTTTTCGCGGTTCTTTTGCCGCTTGCAATGTTATGATATCCCGTCTCCAACTCCTCCGCTCAATCATACAATAAATAATTGCTATCATGGCACTGATAAGGTTGTGCCTCTTTTAATATGATCCAAATGCCCAGCAAAAGTCCCTTAACAACTCATGCCAGAGCCGAGTCTGACCCGCGTATCCCATACCCATAGCTAGCAAACAACCAAATCTCCCGGCTTCCCAGATGCAAGTGCTTTGTTAAAGGAAAATTGTAGTCGACCCAATATGTATCGATGCGGTACATGGAATATCTCCCATCCAAGTACCCCAAAAAGCTGAAGCCCGCCCATGCGCCGAATTTCTTGAACTTGCGAAAAACAATCAAAAGCAGATTCCCAATCCCCGAGGTTTGACCCAGACATTTTTATGATGCTGTGCTCCGATGTATGCCTTTTTTGATATAACAACTGTAAAGAAACAAACGAAACAAGATGGCCGAGTCGAGTCGTGTAATGTTCTATGCTTGAACAGTGGTCGAGTGAGGTGAGGGGTATAGTCGCTGATAATAAACAAGGTAGTGGTGTGAATGGTGCGTCGATCTTTTTAGTTGGAAGATCGCCTGCGTTGCAGCCTGACGGACTCGAACGAGTGGGCATATGCTTGGAGCTCCCTGGCCGCCTTTTCAGACATGCCAGAGTGGCTGTGGCTGAGGCCCGCTGATGATGTGCTCTTCATAGAGCAAAGGCTAGTGTGCGAGCTCGAGGGAGATAGTGTCCTGCTCGATTGGGTGCTGAAGTTGGAAGCGGGGGAGAGGTAGGACTGGTTGCTCGATGGTGTAGACTTGTTGAAAGACCAGTCGAAGGAAGGGCCGTTCAAGCTGGGGGAGCTAGGACCGGAGCTGGAGGCAGAGTTGGTCTCGTAGTCGGCCAGGCGGCAGGACTCGGAGCAGTAGGCAGCGCCATCATCAGTCTGCTTGTCGCAGGTGAGGCAGAACTGGAGTGCCCAATCCTCGAAAGACATGATGTCGGTTGTGTGTGGGTTTGTTGTTGTGTAGTCTGGAAAACTCGCTCGAGGCTGCAAGCTCAGCGTGGGCCGGGTGGGCTAATGGAGTGACTGGTTGATGGTCTGATTGACGCGAAGCTGAATTGGCTTAATTGGAAGCTGTGTCGAGCTGTTGTGGTGGTTGTTTTCAAAGTCCAAGCTGCGGATCTTTCTCTTGTGTGTGTGTGTGTGTGTGTGTGTGTGTGTGTGTGCGCTGGTCGGTTGCTGTTGGTATTATTGTATTGTAGTTGGATTGCTTGTTGCTTGCTTTCCAGAGCAGTGTTGCAGAGGGAAGAAGAAGAGAGAGTGAAGTGGTGGTTGTTGTGTGTTGATGCCGATTCTGGAAGTGAGGTTTGCTCGAAGGAGAGCTGGGGGAAAGTTGGGTTATGTAGGCTATCGACCTTGGATGAGTCCGACGTGCGCCTGCCCTCCCCGGTCATTGCCAATCGTCCCAGTCAGTCCAGTCACTGCAGTGCATGCTGCCCGTGGGTGTGAGGCAGAGGCCCATGACCAGCTCGAAGGCCCCACCCGCGCCCACTCAGACATTGGCGCCGGTGGAGGTACGCAGATCGAGGATACACAGGGGTATCGTAGGCCGTAGTCCACACTCGAAAGGTACACAGTACGGCAAGTCTCGAAGCCACACGTCCCTTTCCACTTGCTGCTGGCCGGGGTGTGTTGGGAACTCACTGAAGGAGCAGGGGGATCCACATGGGGGTCAGTCAGGGAGTGGTGTGGACCCGGTCTCTGCCAGACTGCCAGAGGGGTGCATCTGGGCATGCCAATCTGCACTATACGCAGTACGTACCTCTAGTATGCCTTGTTCGAGGGTAGCCCCACAGTGCTTTTCCCAGAGCGTGAAGTGACAAAAGAGAAGTCGCACAGAGTTCGTTCTCAGAGGGGTACCTGAGGGGTGGGAGAAATTTTCTTTTTGTTGGAAGGCGTGAACTTAGCGAGAATGGGACCATGCTGGCTGGTCGTGGCACCACTTTGGTTCGTTATGAGCAAGAAGAGCGGGTCTGTCAGTCTGTCCTTGTGCTTGGCGAATCACTCGCCAGTGGAAGTCGCCAGTTGAGCCAGTCTCTGCTTCAGCTTTCCCTCTGGGCATTGGGGCAGTGGGCAGCACTCCAGTCCAGTCTGAGGTGCTGCTGAGAGGCGTGACCATCTCACATTGGCGGCCCCTCAGTCTTCGTCAGTCTGCTGCCCAAAGATTTTTTCTCCTCTTTGTCTCACTGCGTGTCAATTCCAGGTTGCCTTGGTACCTACTGATTACAAGTAGTGTACACTATTGCCCGAATACCCTAGGCCCCAATGCTTTGGTAGTTAGGGCTGTGCTGGCAGTGGTAGGTAGCCAGAACCCTCACTTCCTTGCAGATCTCGATGACCCCAAAGAGAACTGAAGGGAAGTGAGGAGACTGCCTTGTCAACACACTGCAAACCCGCTATTACACCATCTCACTGAAGGAACCTGAACTTGAATTGGTCACAGAGTAGGTAGTGTGTACTGCGTACCTCCATGGTAGAAGGAAGTGAAAATTTTTCCTTCCTGGTCATCCATGGTCATGAATCATTCAGCTTAGCTGTTGCTCAGAGGGCACGGGCTTGAATCGGAATTTCACAATCAAAAGTTTCCCCAGTTTTTAGGTGGTCTTGGACCTCTTTTCTGCACGTCCGCCACGTCTTGTCTCGTTTGCCTCTCTTGCGTGTCGTTCGAGCCAAACAGCACGCAATTTCGCACCATCCAAGTTTTCCGTCTGTCCCATCAGCCTGAGCCTCAACTTCAATTCGACTCACCAACCAGCGCTAGAGCCCCTGAATCTCTCTCGCCGGTCTCGCATGTCTTGCCATTTGGAAAATCTCTGCACTGGCACGGACTTCACATTGGAGCAAGTCGCAAGATCGCACATCAGGCGTTTTTGCAGTTTGTGTCCCCCTCTCGGGCTTCAGCGACCTCCATTTATTGGGTACTGTACCTCACTCAAGTCTTGCCCAGTACAGACAGACTTGCTCGAGTGAGGTCGATACACGCTGATGGCGGCGGGCCCGCTGGCCACTGCAACACCAAGATGCGAAACCCGCCCATGGTGAGACGGCATGTTTCCAGTCCTTGTGCTTCCAGAGTGTCATCCTGTGCTTCCAAGCTTCTCAACCATCAGTTACATCAACTGACTCTGTCTCTTGTTGTCTCTGGCGCCGTTGCCGGCAAGCCGGAGGATAAAACAACACAACAACAAGGCAGCATCAGAACGAAAAACATCCTAGAGCAGCAAAGCTTCGGCCGCTGGAAAAAGTCTGGCGTGGGGGGTTTCAATCAGTGAACAGTGAATGTGGAACATTGCGTCCCAACAGACCGGAGTATTTGGTATGTATATCGAAGCCACAAGTCCTTCTCGCCATTACTGCGCTGCACTTTCACGATACGTCTTTATACATTATCGCCTACATCCAGGTGGTGTTCAGGCGGTGGTAATCGTGAATGAAGGCACGCAAGAAATGAGTGGGCATTGGCGACTTTTGCTGCTTGTGATGGTTGTTGCCCCCTGCTGCCTCTGCACACTGCGGTGCGACCTTGTCCCGTCTCTCGTCTTCACTCCCGTCCCCTCTTTCTCCCACTCTATCGAGAGCTTTATCGGCGACGCCCTTCTTGAGAAGACACAGGATTGTACATGGTCCCCCGAGGCTCTCGCACCCGGTAACCGCACCCACCAATCCCCATGCCTGTTCAAGCTCGTCATGAAGCCGGGTGAGGAACAGGTGTGGCCATTGGACTGCTTTTTTGGCCGCTCTTCCCCTCGGTCTGGTCCAGGAGTCTCGACAACACCAGCCCGAAATGGTATGAACTCCCTTGCCCTTCAGAGTTCTCAGCACTCCAAGAGGCGCCCCCGGTGCGACCCTCGAATTTCTTTTGGGCCAAGAGCTAGTGGCTTGCACCCCAGAAGAACAAAAGAAGAAACCAATAAGCCAAGGCCCGAAATTGAACAATTGTGTTGACCGTTGGTGTCGTCTCGCTGTCTGCCCCCTTCATTCCTTACATCAACTGGTAGTAGCTCCACGATCCGGAGAGGATTACATTGATACGGCCAGCTCTAGACTCGCAGCTCAGAATCTTCGGGCTGTTGAGTGTTGAGCGTCACGACGTGAGCCAGCTTGCCAACCTCCGGCCTATGCTGGTCGCTTCAGCCAAATGGCACTCACAACATAGCCTACAACCTGCATCTACAACATGATGATTCCCTTTCCCAACCTAACCCCAACGCCGATGGCAAATTTGTTGCCTATGTACACCCACCTATCCAAGGCCCTGACGAGAACACTGTGCACTAATCAGCACCCCTTCACCTTCAAAGGACACGCCCTCCAATCTTCACGCCCTCGCGCCAACCCCGTCCTCGCTTTGGGTGTCCCTCTTCATGGCATCGGCTGCGAGGACAAGGATGTGCTCGTTTATGGCTCTAAACTGCTTTCAGTTTGACCTGCAGCTGCTGCACCTCACAACCACATTCCTTTCGACAAATCATCTTCGCTCTCTCCCCGCACCTATCTTCAACTCGTATATGGCAGGGGGGCAGCCAAGAAGACTGGCAAAGCTCTCACTGCTGTCGTGCGCCGTGCCGGCCTCTGGGCTCTGGAGCGCTAGTCGGGAAACCTGATAGGGAAGGGGTCGCATGAGTCCGTCTGGTCCAGATATCACAGTTGATTGCCTAACCTTTCATGGCGACCTCCTACGCGGCCTCGCTTGGTGGCGTGCAGAGTCGCCATATCACCGTCTGAGCATTGAAAATGCTGGCGTTGGACGACAGGTAAAGTGCTCTACACGACACTGCGTACATGATGGTCTGGTCCGCTCTTGACTTTTGAAAAAAGGTTCGGAGTGGCACCATTGCACTGCTCACGACAGATCCTGCTACCCGCCGCCGATGGCATATCTCCTGATCAACAACGAGAAACATAGAGTGGTTTGCCAGATTCGCAACACGACGCTCCAGGGCAAGCGCTTCTCGAAACATCTCGTTTACACCTTATATGTGCTTTGCCTTCAATCTGCAGGCAGCTCAATGGGCATATTACCGATATGATCGCATGCAACATCAACGACGCAACGAGATGATGGAAATGTCACGGGTGTTGTTTTCGTGCACAGTACGGTACCCAGCAGCGGCAAGTCAGGCGATTCGTTCGACGCTGTTTTGGCTGCCCCCGCTGCGGGAGTACACCCCAGCTCTCCACTGCAAGAAGCCAAGAAAGACCTTATCCAGTGGACAGTGACATTGGCGGGCATCCCATGTGGCGGTTGCCCCACACTGATACACTAGAGACTGGCTATCTTGGTGATGTTTGTGGGGATGGAGATCGGGTCCATGGGAATGCCAGGAACTCGATATCTCGCAGGTCCTCCTCCTCTTCATCATCCCACACGCCGTGGTTTTCCATCGGCTTGGCAGTCATTCATCGTGACTTTGCCGTTGGTGCCCACGATGCGAACGCAGGAACCCCCCACAGACCTATAGATAGATCTCATGGACAAAGAACCAAGAGGTCAGGGGGTTCAACGTTTCCTTGAGCATGATGGGCAAGCTCAGGGTAAGATATCACGGATGTGTACATCATTTCTGATAACCCCCACAGTCGAATACCAGGACATGTGTGGACTTTTTTGGGTCATTTTCGGCCGCGAATGTGAGCGATAGTCAACCCAGATGAAGTCTGATATCCATATTACAACGCTCCTTGCTCGGCAGATAAATTACAGCAATCCTCGAAGCCATTGGAGCCCCTATTCGGAGACAAGGCTGAATTCCTTTCGAGATGGCTTCCGTCTGCCACTTTGAATACCTACCCTTGATCAATGCGGAGGTAGCAAAACATTCTGACTTCGGAACAAAAATCTATCGCAATACCTAGGGCAGAGCTTCGACTGGGGATCTTGAAAGCTAAAATGAAGGTGTACACGATTAGCTCGTGCGCGCTTGGGATTTCCCCATCGAGTACTGCGCAAGGATTGTAGGGGTCCAACATCAACACCAACATCAACAGATAAGCCGATCCTTGATGATGATCATTACAGTTTTTCTGTTAGCAGGGCACAGCACTACCGACTAGACCCGAATCTCCAGCTTACACTAGTGTAGTGCTCATCATTCCCGCCGTTGCCCATCTCGCTCGCTCATGCAAGCCCGTCAATAGCTGAGCGTGTCCCTGATAGTGGTTTGGAGACACATACGCAAAAAAAAAAAAAAAATAAATAAAAAAAATAAAATAAAAAAAAAAAAAATTAAATCACGAGGATCCTCGGCAGTGCATGAAAATCTTCAGTCATCGGCCTTTGGCCGTCAGATCCAAGGTGTTTACGGTGTTCATTCCCGGTCACCAGTTACCTACAAGCAACCCTCGTCTCACACATGTTATCAGCCATGAGAGGCGTTGTTGACGACGCTATAGTCGACCTGTCACCGGGCTCTACACGGTTTAGTTCGGTTGAAGGACCTTTTTTTTCATGGGGTTCTTATTGCCTCGTGGAACCTGAGACATCACAAAACCCCCCAAACTTCTGGGATTCCTGATATCAAAGTAAGAACCAAGATTTTTGATATTTCTCAAGGTCCGTTAACAAACTCCACACACCCTGGTAGGCTTCGAACGCAACCGAATTGGAGTGGGGGCCTTGCGGTTCTCGTGGAGTTCAGATCATCACGGAGCTCTGCTCCTGAGGAGCTGACACGTCTATCACAACGTCCTGATCACCCATCCTTACCAAGAACCGTCACCGTGGGTCACGATCAAGCACCTTGTTAGTTCATGTCTCGACGGCTTTGTAGTGTCTAAGAATCACGCCACTGCCAGAAAATCTCCGCTTCTTTTTAGATAGGAGCAAAATGGACATTGGATGGCATGAATCTATCGACGAGCTAGTGTTAAAGTAACGAACCCAAGCACAATCAATCAACCGTATCTCGCTTTTCTCCCTTCCGTACGCCGATCTCTTCTTGGTTTGATCATTTGCCACCAACAGCCGAGCATGCAAAGGCCTAGCCTTGTCCAGCTGGCTGGGATATCCTGGATGCGAATGGGAAGCTGGGAAGATCTGGGGGGGGAAGCTAAAGCACTGGGCAAAGAGCACACAACTTTGTCAAAAGAAGCTTAGCAGCAGCTCATTTGGAGATCGCCAAATTGCGAGCTCAATCGGGTATGGTATGTATGATGGCACTGTCCTCAGCGGTTATCGCAACTAGTGCACTGATTCTCAACGGAGATGCTCTTTAGCCCGCTCTTAACTACTTATGCAGCATCTGGCCAAATGAATTGGCCCATACTCCTAACATGATTCACAAAGCATCAGTTCATGTATGTATGTATGTAGTACAACAGCGGTAGTGATTTGACATATCGTAACATGTCGAGCACAGAGCAGAAGCGAAGTTTGATTCTCGCTTCTCAGTGGTCGCCACAAACGCGGGGACAAATCACACAAAGTTGAATTGCTTGGGTCGAAATCGAGGACCAGTTCGAACAGAAAAGCAAGATGCAAAGTTGATAAACCTTGCATTACCAGCCGTCCGTCTATGTATCTGTCGGTTGGTAATCGTCACAACGAACACCTGTTCATCTACTACCCGTCGTCACGTTGCCGTACCGTCTTCTTTTACTTCAGCCATCTTTCCATTGGCTTCTGTCAGTTTTACCTCCTCGTCTCATCACTGCCTGCGCCTACCACCCCACACCACCACACCACTGAGTGATTACCTCGTTGGCCGCCTGGCTCGCCGGGTGACACAAACCACCGACCAGGCGATGGTCAGACCAAACGTCGCAAGTCGGAAGGGCAATTATCATTGGTGGCCTGACCCGATTCCCGTCACAGCCGCTTTCTGGCTTTTCTTGTGTCTTGGGTTGAGCGCGCGTGCTCTGACAGGCTCTGACAACGCTTACCAACGCCCTTCGCCCAGCATCGCTATCAACACATGTTTGACACATGTGAAGATAGGAAAAGGAGTACACTAGGAAAAAAAGGAAAGAAACGATCCAGGAGGTGTCTTCCAAAGGGTTCTTTCTTGGCAAGTTTGGTCTAGGTGAGGTAAAGCTTCCGAGACTACCTATGGACTGTGTAAGACGACGCGTGGAGCTGGGCTGTGTGAGGCCAAGTGCAACACCATACCTAGGTAGATACACCTAGCCTTGACCTCCAGAGACAGCTGGGCAAATATCACCCAAACCAGGTTAATAAGAGGCAAGACATTTACCACCGAAACTTCCGAGCAAATCAAAGAGAGACTCGAAGAGAGACGTGCACCGGATAGGGCAGGGGGTAGGTTCGGACTTTAAGTACCGACAAAACGCTCTCTTTTTTGGGGGGGTTGTTTCGGAGCTTTGCCCTGGCGGGAAAGGGTCAGTTGAATAGAGGAGGACTAACATCAATAAACTCTTCTCCCGCTTTGTTTGCCTGCCTGGGCTGTGAGGTCCGTGTCTCGGCTCAGGTCGGTTTCAGTCTTTTTTGTCAGGCACTGTTTTCCTTGTTGCAAGGTGTTGCACTTTAGAAGCAAGGGCCACGCGCCGGTCTGAATTGTTTTTTTTTTTTTTTTTTGGTGATATTGGTTGCTGCCTGTCGTTGGCTTTTTTGCCCACTCTAACAAATATCTTGACAATATGCAAAGCTTCGATATCATGAAACCCAAAACATGCCGTCAATGTTAACTTTGTGTCGATGTCATGTTGCCATTCCAGTACCTTATCACGATGCTGTTAACCGTGTTGTACCTGACATTAGTTTGCTATGTTTCTTTGCCTAATATAGCGTACATACAGTAGTGCTGCAGTGCATGTATCCCAAGAGTAGGTAGGATCGTGTAGTGTACATATGTTTGTCGATGTATGTAGTAGATAAATATTTTACTGCGCGTGTTTATCAACAGTGGATTATACAGCCAGGCGCACTCCGAGCCGCTCTCGAATTTACACAGTCAGTCCTTTCTCCATTCGCCTCCTTTTGTCGGGTTTCGTCTTACCTTTTCCAGCCTCATGCATATTTACCGATATTCAGGGACGACTGAAGGGTGCAATCTGGATACTAGTGACTTACGACTCGGAGAAATCAAAGGCGGCCCTCGTAAGACAGAACAGTACGTTTGCCTCCCGGTCAACGCATGTACAACTCTCATCATTGATTTGTTAAGGATGCGTTCCTTTCCCTGTAAACCCGCTTCGAAAATCCGCAATAAGCAAAGTTGAAAGGAAGAAGTCCCAAGACGAGATGCATCAAAGTGAGCAGTAACTTCAGGTTTGCCGGTCTGATTGGTTCGCAGACTTCACGAGTGTTGCCAAGAAAGGACTCGAGGTTCATAAGGAGGGCTCAGAGGACTGGCTCAGAGTCAAGGGCTAGACTTTGTTTGGCGTAGCGCTCATTTCCTTTTCTGCTTTGATAAGATGGGAGGATGGTTGATAGGTATTGTCTTAGAGACCTAGTGTACGTACGGCTCGCAGTTGCTGTTCTGCTGGGCGTAGTACACAGTAGTACATAAGCGGGACACGGTGATGGACTTTGAGGGCGTGAAGGCCTTTTGGGCGTTGGTTGGCTGGTTGGTTGACGAGCGAGCTTCGGCAGGCAACTCAACAGCAACAACAACAACAACAAGGGGTAGATCCTCAAAGGCCAGGGGGAGGGGTGTAGCCATTGTCGACGATCAGCAACACAAAAACTGACAACTGAAAGCTACCTGTCGGAGATCTGGGCAAAATAAGCAAAGCCAGAAGAGCATAACACCGAAGAAAAAGGGAGGTTAAATGAACAGCAAGCTCTTCGACTTGTTAATGCCGGGCAGTTTCGGAGATTCCAGTTGCGCTTTCCCTCCCTTTTTTCCAGGCGCCCGTCCCCTTCTTCCCTGTCTCTCTCTCACCTGTGATCGAAAACCCACAGCATCGTAAACTCGGTTCGCCATTTTGCTTGTCTGGTACTAATTTCCTAGTGAGATCATCGACACCTGGCAGCCACTTTGTGTTGACGGGCGGAAGGAGCTAGTACCTACCTAGTCAGTAGCTTACTGCTAAAGAAAGCTCCCCCCAGAGTCCCAAATTAACTCTGCCCCGTGTACACGGAGGCGGGTTATATCTAGACTACCCCCCTTCCCTATATCTAGACTACTTAACCGTATTGAGCACACATTTCACATAAAATCGATAAATCCCATATTTCGTAACTTTTCACCCGCCAAGCCACCAGAACCCTCCCCACACCCCCATAATCGACTGCCGGGACTAGCCCAGCATTTCAAACAGCGCTGTAATACACTATAGTTACAGCATGACTTGCCCTGTAAAATCCCCTGTAAATCTACAGTCGCCAGCGTATATATTAGTAAAATTAATCTCGTACTATATTCGATTATACTTAATTGTATTCGATTACCTATGTGTATTTAAGCTAGCCTTATTGATTACCCTACAAGGCACCCTACTTACAGCTATAATTGCACTCCCCCCCCTACTTCCACCCCCCGACGAAGATGATGACTATATATTTAATACCCTTATCGCTACTAACGAGACTACCAATGATAACTTCATTGAATAGATATTCGAAAACCGACTGAGGCTATACAATCTTTAAACTACCGTACTGATCAAGTGGTTATTCAAGGACTAGAACATAACGAAGCGCTTCCTTTAAATCTTTACCCAAAATAATAGCTTCGCTATTACAGTTATCTCCTCTAGTAACTACTGTATTTATCTCGCGTACGCTAAGTTTGGGAAGTTTAAGCTAATGGGTACTGGGATGAGGAAGACTAATATGATAAAGTATGGCTATCTCTTTAGAGTGATTATTAAATTAAAGAAGACTCCTATCTCTCTAGAGTTTACTAACCTTTATTATAATTACCCGCTATAGACTATAGCATCTACCTACCCTTTAATACGCAAATTAACTTTAAAAGCAGAGGAATTTGTATAGCAATTTTATTAATAAAGGTTTATTAATCTATAGATCCGACTTACCCTCTAAAGTACTTACCCTAGTCTATACGACGAGATTAAGAATATCGATATTAAGAATAATATTATACGGTTGAGTCAAAAGTATGCTGCTAATCTAACTAATATTTAAAAGCTATTGAGAGACTTCGAAACCTTCAATCTGTGGTATGCTTATACCCTCGACCGCGTTAGCCGCCTTAAGTTCTTAATCTTTATATTCCCTTAGTATTTATAAATATAATATAGAAATCGAATAGTTTTGAATATTAATTGTACTTACAACGTAGGTTTCCCTTCCTTTCTCTTCCTCTTTAGTTTAATTAATTAACCCAGTTAATAACTAAATTTTATACTTTAAATTAAAAATGTTTATAATTATAGGTATAAGTTCTATTAATACTACTTTCCCCATCGCGTTTAGTTTCAGTTATAAGGAGAATAACGAGTTTATAAATTAGTTATTTAAGTATCTTAGCGATTTCGCCTATTGTATTACTATATTTTACTCTGCTGTTTATATTATTAATTATTCTACAGCGGAGAAGTAAGCTCTTACGCGTTACTTCCCCGATAGTCAACCCCAGCTTTATTTTTAATATATATTCCAGAATATTATTAAATATATTAACAATAATTGGGACGGTCCCTTAAGTGACTATAACTCTCTCAACCCTAAGATTGTTAAGCTTAATACCCCCAATATTACTAAATTAATTAAACTACTACTATTATAACTAATTATTATAGTTACTATTATTAGCGCCGACCCTGCTAATACTAGTATTAGTACTAGTACTAGATTCTAAATACTATTAGGGAGACCGACTCTTAATAAGGTAGTAAGATACTTTAAAGCGTACTACCTAGAAGGGGTAATGTACGTTATTAATCTAGTAGATTGGGATTATAGTCTGGGCGGGTTATTCTATCTTTTTAAAGCAATTTACTATATTAACCAGATTAATTACTACTAGTACTTATAGGATTATTTAGATAATACCTTCTCTATTCGCTAGTTTAGTAAATATATACTAAGGTCTAATTTTTTACTACTATTTTAGTTACTAATTATTCCCTATATAATAGAGATTCAGAATTACTTTAATGATACGCTCTAGCCTATCCGCTAGTAATAGGCGCGGTCTTATATAAAATACTACTATAATTATAGTATTATAACTACTAATTAATTTAAGTTATTGTACGCCGAGTTTAAATACGTACTTAATAATTTATATACCTTACTTTACAATATATTCGATAAGATACGTATCCTTATTAAAAAGAAGTAAAAGAATTACAATAATAAAGTAGCGCGCAAGAGCTTCACTTTAAGGGATAATTATAAATATAACCCTTTATTAATAGCCGTTATAGAGAAGGTTTTATAGAAAGCGCTTACCCTTATTCAAAATTAATATAATTGGGCTAGGATATATCTTATAGGTAAAGTTTAAATTACTTTCTATACGTACAGTTATTCTTAATAGCTTAAATTACCTTATTATTATGTATTAGCAGTTTGTATAGAGTATAAGCGTAATAATAATAGGGTAAAAAGGGTAGTAGTCTAAGAGCTACTCGTTTTGGAGGATATTGACTAATATTAGTATTTACTTAGGGATTTAGTAATTTCCTATCCCTCTTTACCCTATAATATTAGAAGCTATTTATTAACAAAAATAGGCGGTAATTAACTCTAAACGGTATATTAGGGACTCTAAAATCCTCAAGCGAGTAAAGAAGGCTAAATAGAAAATAACAAACTTATCTCCCCGATTCACTAAACCTACTCTCTTATAAACTACCTAACTTAGTTCTACTACCTAACTTAATTCTACCCCTAGTACTAGTAGCTAGGTGGGTTAGATAGGCTACGTAATTCAATACTAACCTCCTCTTACAATTAGCTAGAAGGTGAGCCTTATTAAGAATTAGAAGGGTATAAAGCCTAACGACCGTTTACCCTCCCGCTGGGAGGAGGGACATATTATTAGAAGTTATAGCAGCCTAATAGTATTAGTAGTAGAGGTTCCCCATATTTTTAGTACTAATCTACTAATTAGTATCCCTTATGGAGTTATCTATATACCCTCATTACCCCCATCTAAGCAGCCGCTAGTACTAGAGCCAAAGCAGTAGAGTATATAATTATATATATATATATAAGGTAAATCATAAAATCATATAAATCAGAGAGCTCTAGAAAAAAAAACTATAGAAAATAAACACTCCTCTCCTCTCCACACTCTTCTCTACACCACACACGAATTTGGTGATACAGGGCACAGTTGGGCATGCCTTAGCGGTATGCGTTAACAGATTTGGCACGTACAGGCACACGAGGCCAGTCTGCATAAGAAACCCTACTTTTTTGCGGGGATTTCAATGACAGGGACCCCTACACGCCCAGCACGCACAAAATATTTGACGTGCCAGCTCCCCTGCTTCGTACTCTTACCCCAAGCGGTTAAGTAGTCTAGATATAGGGGAAGGGGGTAGTCTAGATATAACCCGCCTCGTGTACACGTATTTTCTCACCACCAGCGGACTCCATTTCACGGGCGTTTCGGGTGCATGGGAAGCTGTTAGCTCGAAAGGGTTACCGGGCATTTCGTACCGTCGGTAAGCCGCTAAGTACTGCCCGTCCCCACGCAAGCACCCAAGCGGGCGACGATGCGAGAGGGGGAGCTCGCCCAGACTCCCGCCGTCTTCTAGCGGATAAAAAATTTCAAACAAGGGAGGTTTCTTTCCACTCGTAGCGTTGCTTCGCGTTGCTTTTTGTCCATCACCGCTTGTTTGACCTTTGAGATACCTGCATATCACCGCCCTTTTGATGTGGATTTCAGGTACTGCTCAGGTCGCTAGTTGCATGAGTTGACCTGACAAAGTGGATCCTTTTTACGCAGTAAGGCTTTACCGCACATTGTTTGTCTGGTTACCGCCAGTATGGAAGTGGAATTTTTCCCTCATTCACCGGGGGGTAATGAACCCCAACGACGTCGACTTCGTCTTCGTGTCGGGTAGGTATGTACACAGTTGATGGTAAAACTGCACTACTGCAAAGGAAGTGAATGCCGTGATGGAGTTGGATTGATGACTCGGATCCGGATGTCAAAGTCAGAAGGCTCCAAAAGTCAGATTTACCAGAGGAATGGTATCTGTCTGGGATCGCTTGATACCGAGACTCCAGTGGGACTGTCCAGCTGTCAATCCCGTCGTTGTAAAATATGGTGCCAAAAAGACGCCATATGGCCGAAACCTGCGCGAGGGACCTAAGTTGCAAGGTTAAGATCTTGGAGTGCGGCTCCTATGAACGATGTGATACACAAGCGTGATGGTTTGACTGGTCACTGGGTGACTGGAAAGAAAGCCAAGACATTGCAACATGAGCGGGTTTCGATGAGCAATGTCCGTCCCCGCCATATCTCGGTAGCCTGATCAGCCTGCCAGATCTCCATTGTCATCTGGTCCTGAGATTGCCATTTGTTCCAAGATCTGAAAGTCCCGTTTTGGGCTGACTTCGTTGATGACGTCCTTGGGCTATCGAGTTGGACGGCGTACACTAGTAGGTACTTGGTCTGAGACATGGACTATCGCGTAGCACTTCTACCACCCACACTCAATGTTAGCGTTGGTTGCGCGTATCAGGCGTTGTGGTGATGTTGATCTACCTAGTGTATAGTGGAGTGCTTGGGCTCACAGCCGAACGTTAAGACGAGGTTTCTGTGGGTACACAGTAAAATGTCTTTGTTAAGGTACGTACTGTAGCCTAACAACAGTGCCCCAAAACAGGTCGATGTCAGGGGATCACAACGACCCTTTCGTTCCACCTGTGTCTTCTTCCCCAGAGCGACCCTCAAGAGACCCTACCTAACTTCCAAGTTTCTCGTAATGCCCCCAGAGACTGCTGCCCAAGCGGACAGGTTCCAGAGAGAAGAAGGTCAGCTCCCCGGTACGGAGGCAAGGAGAAAAGCCGACGACAATCGGCCGTCCACTCTTTGTCCCTGCAAGGATTCCTGTTCCCCTATGCTTATCCCCGTGTCCATCACCCCGGTTGTAAAGCATGACCTTCATTATCTGGCATCCAGTCACATTCGTTCCCGCCCCACGACTTTATTCTGAACTGTGCAATGCGGTGGTGGTGATCAGGGGAGCTCAGTCCAGACAGGGTGGTACACAAAGGGCGTGTTTGGTTCAAGCAACAGAATTTCAACCTGTTTTTGACAAGGGTAGAGGAGGGTACAAAGCGCCATCTGCAGTAAGTGGCAGGGATATTGTACCATTTTTCTTCCTTTCCTTTTTGGGAGTAACCAACAAAATGCTCTATCCTCCCTGCCCAGACGAGGGGGGATAGCAACCAACAAAGTGAGCGTTCACTATACCGGATTAGGAAGTCGACAGGGCCTCATGCAGTCTACTGCAAGCCACGTACAGGGGAGGTACAGCCAAGACCTAAGTGCAGGAAGCTTACTAGGGGGGTATAGGGGGTAAAGGAGGTCCGACGCCGGATCAATACCTCAAAATGCAGCTTGTTGGCTGACAGGGATAAATTCACCATACAAAATCTGTTTCTGTTGCTTGAACCAAACACGCCCAAAGAGAGAAATCAGATGGAACGCTCCAAGAGGAAAGGATCGATTGTATGGATCAGCGAGCAAACAACTTCTCAGGGCACTTTCCCAATAGTCTCATGAAAGATCTACCTCGGTGCTCAACGATCGGAACACGTCTAGTCAGCAATTGACCGTGCCAGAGCGGTCACGGTGTTTCCCTTCAGTTCTTTGCTGCCAACCTCACTGCGGTTCACGAAGGAAGGAGCCCACTAGGTAGTCACTGCTACTGTGCTCCACCTCCGCATTTCAACCTTGTGGGGCTCAACTTATGGAGCCAATGCAAGCAAGCAAGCCAGGGCCAGGGCCGTTGCAGTGAGGGCCAGCTGCCAGGAACGAACAGCCGATTCGACGACGGAACGATGTTCTCCCCCGCCAGGGTTGCTACTTCCGCACGACCCTGAGATGCCCTGACCCCTCACACTCTCTGTCAACTTGAAAATTGTGATGGAAGATGGAAAACCTCGATCTCGAAACCCTTGGCCAAGTCGTCCTCCTCATCCCCTAAACCCCATCAATTCCCACATCGAGAAAGTTGAATTGCTTCCACACTCCCTACCGCACGGAGGGGTTGACCCCTTTTTCTCATACAGTACTTTACCTATCTTGTACACTTTCTTGTTAGAGTATCACACAGTGAATCTTCCTTCGGTGTGGTCTTGCAAGTGAGTGTACGTACCAAATGTATGCAGCTTTGCGTTTTTGCGTTCGGCAAACAACCCGAACCATCATTTCCCCCTAACAAGAAAGGCGGAACGACAACCAAAGAAAACAGTAGGAACCGACCGACAAGGCGGAATGGAACATCAGACACGAGAAAATCGCTTGAGGAAGTGGATATGATATGTAGGTAGTATACTGGCGGTGACAAGGTGTTTCCCCTTGTTTACTCCGCCCAGCGGAACCACCAGCAGCAACTCCATCGTCCCATCGTGCAGTTCCCGTCTGGGGAAGAAGAACTTAAGAACGTTGGAATACAGGGGGAAAAGCAACCCTCCTTTCGTGTACACTACGCGAGTCCACCATTCTGGGCGTGGAGCAATGGACGACCCCTCTCGAACAGGCCGATCCCAAGAGCCTCCGGGCTACTACAATACAGCGCCGGTACTACAGGCACGGCAGGGCACCGCACCCGTACATAGTATACCTACCGGAGAATTGCCATGAGGCCAGTTACCAATCCACTACACTACGCACACCCCGCGCATCACGCAGTAAGAGCGTAGAAAGTGCAACATGGGAGAAGTGAATGGCTTGGGTGGATGGAACTGGAATGCGATGCAATCGCGATGCGAGCAGTTTGCCATCAATACTATGTACGCAGTACACTACAGTGTGTACACAATAGTCGCCCGGGTCCTTCGGTGATCGATGTGAATGGTCAGCTCGATCAACTGCTTTGCTTCTGTTTGTTGTTTGACCGGCCATGGCAGCTTCCCAGCCGGCTTCCAGCTATCATAGACTCTCTGGGCTTCTGGAAGAGGTCAAATGTGAGAGAGAAAGGAAAGAAGGGCGGGTAAGTAAAGAGAGAGAGAAAGAGAGAGGCCCATTGATGGAAAAGGCAGAGAGAATATCTTCATCCCTCCCCTCCTCTCTCCCGCCCCTTGCTCCTCGAATGTAAATCCCCTGCCTCCAGGGTCTCCTCCATGTAGTGCACTGTATCAGGAATCCCTCACTGTGTACGAAGCAAGTAATGAATGACGAAGGGGGTTTTCTTGCGTGCAGAGTTAGAAGAGTCCAGTGACTAGTGTACATAGTATGAGAGTTGTTCGCTGCAGTGGTGCTGCGGATGGGATATTGGTGTGGGTGGCAATGGCAGGGGGCCTTTAGCACCGTCACGCAATGAATGGGCAAGAAGACAGTGTGGCAGACAAGCATGCGGCCATAGGGCGTTCGCTTGTAGGCTGCAAGGCAGGCAGCCAAATGCAAGTTCCAAACCATAGCCTTCTGCCTGCTTCAGACCTCTCTGAAAAGACAAAGATCCAATATCTGTCAACCCGTAGGTTCCTTCTTCGATGGTGTAGGACGATCATTGTGTTTGTCCTTTGGTGGCTCGGTAGGATAACCGAACACGAACGGACAAGGATGAAGGACGAGCAAGTGCCTCAGCGAACGACGACTGAGTTGATTGAAAAGACAGTGTTGCTCTCGATCCGAGGCTTCAAAAGTGAATGTTGCACGGGCACGGTTGTCTAGCTTTCCCCAATCTATCACGGCACCCAGATATCGCGCGAAATAACTTCCTTCGACCAGGATTCTTGCTAGGCTTGTTTGCCTGACCTGTAAAACGGACACTCGGCTGCGCTTAAACCTGTTTTGTGAGTTGAGACATGAAATCACAAGGGAGTAGTAATCTGAAAATAATGAAAAAACGGTAGGAAACCAGACATGAGTGGAAGAGAGGTTACACGCTAGGGACGTTAGGACTCGGGACCGATGGGATCAAGGGTGCCATGTGCTCTCTCAAGATAAAGTCACACAGATACAAGGCTAGAGTTCGTCCTGGGTGCCTTGTCTTTCTTCTCGCTTGTTAGCATAACTGACTGTGTCAACCTGAGTTTTTACAGAGTGCTTATGCTACCGTGTGGCAGCATCAAACACTGCTCGAGGTTGAAACTGGCCGCCAGATGACCGGTGAGCGAAGCGGCTGACCGTGAGCGGCAAGAGAGATAACAGCGAGAGCAGCGCCGGACCGCCGGTATCCAACCAATATCACTGGTATGGAACCCTCCCGATAGTCGTCGGTCTTGCTCAGCATTACCAGAGGCGTGATCACAAAAGGGAGAATACTATAGATCTGCTGGACATATCTTGCTAGGCCTACCGTGTGTGTATCAGGAGATGACTGAAGCAAACAAACCTTCTCAGACATGGTAGGCACTGCCCAAACATGCGGGAACAGTGCCTCCTTCGGTGCTTGCCTCCGTAGACTAGTTGACCTAAAGGCGTGGAAGCCTTGTGATCCGGCGGCCGACAGACACCCAGTTACCAAGCCACCACCCCATGGCAAATATACCAGGCCGATTCGCTACCAACTGCTTGTTTAAGCCATCCCGTTCAAGTTTGCCTCTCGCCAGCTCATTTCGGCCGTGGTGACACCGACCGATGTTTGCGATATCATGTCAATGGACACTGGGACGAACGTTGGTGCTAGTGTCGACTTGACAAGCTTGTTCGGAAGTCAACACCCTTGGTTGGTAACCACTTGGCAACTGGTGGGAGCAAAACGACTGCCTGGAATGTGATGGCTGATGGATGAGCGAGCGGGTAATCCAGCAACCCGCAACCTTGGGCTTGGGTTTTGCCCTTCCCGCGCGGAGAGGAGGAGCAAACTCGGACGGGGTGGCTGTCGATTTGAACCTAATCTCACCTCTTAGTGTGTGTAAGAGCTAGAGGACACATGGTTAGCCAGTGTTGGTCATCATCTACCGCTGGTATCGCGTAGAATGATAAGAGCCTCAAGGCCATGTCCATGTTTGTGTGGACAGGTCTCGGGACCACTCACCAGTAGGCCCTTTTCCCATGGTCAGTGCCCAAACTGATGAAGGTCATGATGCCATCTCGCCATGATGGATGCTTGGCGTGCTGGGGAAGTCGGTTCGTCGGCAGCGTTATGTTATGCATCAATTATCGGAGAACCATCAACGGCCGGAGATTGCGGTTGTCTCTGGTTCTGGATCAAGGCACGAGAAAAAGCAAGGGCGACTCGTGTTGAGAGTCATGATGAGCATGGTTCGCATGGTTTGAGCAAAGAAAAAGAAAGAAAGAAGAATGAGAAGTGACGGAAAGCAAGCCAGTCAGCAACCACAAGGTGGGGTTTCACACGCTGAGCGGGAAGGCCCGTGGCGAGCGTGGTTGCCTTTCACCGTGTTCTTTTGGGGGTGCACTCTCCAGTCTCCACCACCCGACTCTCAGGGCTCCTTCCCCCAAGCACCCAACCTCACCAACCCGAGACCCACCTCCTCAACGGTCGAGCATCCATATCAACAAGCAAGGGAGAGGAAGGCGTCAGACAAACGAATGGAAGCGAACTGCATGCGAAATCCCATTCTCGTCTCTTCTCAACCTACATCTGCCGAAACATGCAATGTCCACGACAACTGCCGGCTTACCTTGAGAGACAAAAAAGCAAGACCAGTACTAGGCAGAGCAAATCCGCGGCGATATAATGCTCGCTTGACGCTGTGTCACTCCTGCTGAGGCACTTTTACCGAGTACGCAGGAGCAAGATGGGCCGTACGAGAACGAGCTTCAGTTTCCAGTCTAGAAGCATTCCCTCGCAAGCCACGTCTCAGCTATTTTCTGTCGCCTCCCTTCCTCCTCATCAGTTGTAGCCGTTGGAATGTCAACCTCGTACACAGTAGCACTGCCAACTGTGGAAAGTCTTGCAAGGTTCACTCATTCCGTAGCGTGTGACGATGATGATGATGGGTCATGAGAAACTTTTTCTTTTGTGCATTAACAGTTCCGGTATAGGGTGGGATGGAGAAATGTGAATGGAGGGCGATCCCGTCGTATTCAACTTCACAACATGCCATGTTTAGTAGGTAGTCCTATCTCTGGTAGGTAGCGGTTATCTCGGAAGCCCAAACCCCCTCCCTATATCGACTCTCCATACTCACTCTATCTTAGGTCCTATATCAAGCTATCACTCTTCGATAGTTATCATCGAACTCGTCGTCTTCGTTGCTGCCATGGATGTCTATCGCCAGCTAGCATGGTCATGTGGACGCCGATGCAGCTAGCGCTAAAAGCACGCGCGTCACGGTTACATCGAAGGGTGGTGGTGATGTTGTCTAGGTGAACACCTGCGCAGCAAATGCCGAACCTCTCCTTCTTGGCCGTTGTCTCTCTTCACGAAGCTAACTTCAACAGTAATTAGCTTGTCCCAAGTTCTGCCCGTGAGGCATACATACTACTACTGTATGCACGGCTTTCCCGAAAGGGTTTGCGATGCTTTACCAGTATTGCCAACCCGAGCACCTACCCGTCACTAGAGAAATCCTCCATGTACTTGATGGCAGCGTTCTATCAAGCTGCCCTTCCAGCCGTTCGGTGCCCTTTGCTGTCTTGGGCATTTCGAACTGGCTTGGCGTACGGGTTTCGACGCTCGGCTGGCTGCGGGTACAGTGGCACACGGGTGTTGACCTCGATCCGGTCCGGCTGGTGCCTCAGAGACACAGAAGAGGAGCTGCAGTTTGCCGCCGACCTTGAGGAGAGACAATAATGGGCAGATAATGACGCCCTCGTTGCTTTTTCCCCTACACATTCCTCCTGTGTATTAAAACTCTTTAGCATTCCACGCGACGCCAAGGCAGACGGCCATCACCTCACGGTTTCACTCTGTGAGACATACAGACGATTATCATGCAGCACAGCCGGGCCCGTGTATGCCGCTCTCTCCCGAGCCTGTCGCTTTGTCCCGTCGTATACGGGACCGCAGTGATCATCAGCACCTCCGTGGACACCCACTGAGCGCATGTTTGAAAGTCACAAATGTGTATACAAGTACGGAGTTGTGCGTATGTGCATGTGCGGAAAGGATTGTCTCCAATGGATGGGGGGATGGCGTGCATGTTCTACGCTACCTTGACTCCCCTCCTTCCTT